AATGGTACGAGTTATCAGCTCATCTGATCAATTTTGTAATTTTTAAGCTTAGGGCCATCATCGGGAATTTCTTGTTTCTGATGTTAAGCTTTCTTGGCATGAGTTATAGAGCTACAAGAAGTGTCATTCTGTTGCATGTGGTGTAGATTTGAGCCACCTTTTGGCAGCCAATAGCTTAATGTACCAGTTGAACTAAGTTCTAATCCTATTAATGATTAAGTTTGTAGTCCATCTGTGTTCTATGCATGATTCCTTACTCTTATTTGGATGACAACTAAGGTTCAAATATTGGTACTCGCATTAGTATCCCAAACAAATTTGCTTCCTCAAGGAGTGTTTGATTTAATGTGAGTTTTGTCCTTTCCTTATCGCATATGTTCTAATCCCCAGGGCTGTTTTTACTGTGGGCATGGCAGTTAAATTAACAAATGAAAGAGAATGTCCTTGGGAATGCATTGATGACTTTTGTGTCTTCGGTACACTCACACAGGGATAAACATATATTTATTTAGTAAAACTTGACAACAGTTTATTATGTAAATATAAACTACTGTGTAATAAGGAAAGTTTATCAAGCCAATTACCCACCCAAAAGAACATTTTATAGGTGATAAAATAGCATAGAATGAGCAAGAGCTTAAAAAAGCACATACCTTCGTGAGTGATATTTCCACTAAAGTGCTGCCGGTATTCCGCCAACTTCTCTGCAAAGTTAAATTGAAACCAAGATCATTTAACTCTTGATATCTTAAGAGATAATAAATTCCAGTATGGTAGTCCTAAGATCTTCAACCATGTAATGCCACAGGAACTATCTGTGTGAGTAGACAGGAAAATGAGCTCTTGTGCCACCGAGGTAATTATCTATTCACAGTGTATAGACTAAGAAGTTTAGACCTGTCTACCTCCTGAAGAAAGATCCAGGAAATCAAAATAAATAACTCACAATTAAGCATTTTAATCTCCCAAATACAAGTGAACTAAATTGTGAGATGAGTCATAGATACAATCAGAGGGGATATAACTCGTGTCATGTAGCACATGCACTATGCACCACTTCCAAAATATGATAGCATTCCCTTAAATTTTGGATAAAAAGTTAATACGTTATCATAGTGAAGATGTAGTTTCCTTCTACTCCAAACTTAAAGAGTAAAGGTGGTATGGTATTTCCACAATCTACTTGTCCCCTCATAGAGATGCAGCTGAAAATACTCTGACATGAAAATTTTTGGTAAAAAATTTAATGTCAAAAATTTAGTGTAGCCATAGAGAAAGCTCTTGACCCATTCATTTAAAATCCTACATGTTTGGAAGGCATGTGAGTTCAAGGCAGTAGGAGGAGTAAGGCCTTGCTCATCAGTAGCTGGTAAATGGAACGTAGAGGACCTATGGGCACCATTCCCACTAAAAGTATTATCCTCACGACTTGCTGCCAAGTGCATGATTGCCCGTGTCTGCAAATCCATATTTGGATTCATTGGAAGGCCAACATGCTGTTACTGTTATCTCCAGGTATCCGTGGAAAGAGTAAACTGCATTATCGTTTCAGGTGGAACACCATCAGAAACATTGACCTTGCCACAGTAAAAAATTGTCTTTTGACCACCCACTCAATTGTTTCACCTGGACTTCTGTTGCAACAATTTCAAATTCTTCTCTTCAGAACTTAAAGCAGACAACAAGCAGAAATTATATATCACCTATCTAACAAGAGTGTTATGCAACCTCACTGATAATACACAAACTCCTTAATCTTAACCAGTTCATGTTATATGATGCAAAAGCAAGCACTAAGTATTTACGAGTTTTTTAGAACAACACGGTTTTCTTGAATCTATATCATCATTCATCAACTAAACAACAAGATGATTTTAGGCAAGCACCAAGAGTTGTAGCACTTATTTTTTATATGATAAAACTTAAATCCTAAACTTGACATAAAAAACATCACTTATTTTTTAATAAAAGTAACCCTGAGCGTTAAAACTAATATCTTTAGCTGCATGTGCCCAGTGATGGATTAAACTGGTATACATGTACTAATAAGAGCGAGTCACTTAAATTTGGGAAAACTGCCTGATCCGTCCCGCCCGGTAAACCTGCCAGGCAAATTGCTCCACGCTGGATGCTGCAGCTTCTTTCTCCTTTTTTTCTTTTTTTTTTGCCCCTGGATGGTCGGTTCAAAGTTTTGAGAAAATTTCCTTAAATTTGCCACCTCGCAGGTTCGAACACAATTTCAAGTGACTTTTCAATAACTTTTGCCACTAGAGCACCACCTTTGGAATCGGATCATGTGCTTAAAATTTTATTTCTTTTATTTTAAGAAAAAAAATTGAAAAAATCATTTAAGGAGCCGAACTTCCTTCAACTTTATCGAGTTTCTTCTATAAGAAGAGAAATATTATGGTTTAAGTACCATTTTGGTCCCTCAACTATCCACTTTGGTACCAAAATTGTCCCTCAACTTTAAAAAGTACCAAAATTATCCTCAAACTTTCATTTTCGGTACAAAACAGTCCTTCCGTCAGTTAAATGACAGGTGTCACGTTAATTTGCCAGCAAATCAGTTCTTTTTTTGCTTAACTAATGACGTGGAAAAAAAAACCATTGTTGGCTTATGAGTTGGCATTAGTTGGCATTTTTATTTAATTTTAAAATAATAATTTTTTTTTCATCCACATCATCTCTTCTTCCTCTTTCACTTTCTCTCTCCTTTTCCCTTACCTC